AGTTTTTTTTTTAATTCAGAATACAATCCGTTTATGTTTCTCTTAGGGGTTTCTACATTATTTTAAATGTGAATAATCTAACCCTATGAACCAACAATTATGTTTTCTGTAGTATGTTGAATAGGGTATTGCCAAATACTGCAAACATTTGTTTATACAAAAAACAACCAGTAAGGAAAGTAGTAAAGTCAGACTGTGTCGACTATATGATACCCTTCACCACTTTGGGGATATACTACATATGTATATTTACAGATATCGTCTTTTCGAAGGAACATTCACATAAATTTATCTATAAGTAAACCGACTGACATCAATCCTTACACATTCTGCAATCTATTCCATACATTTTAAATTGACTTTAAGCAAACTTTGCGCACGCTATTCGGTATGATTCACTGTTTAAAATGTAATATCAATCAAGCACCCATTGATTATTTGGTTTACAATCAACATGAATAGGTCCAAAATATATATGGAATCTATGCTATATCTAAATCTGAACCGATTTCAAGGAAACTTGTAGAGATTAATTTAGCTATGGGTCTTTACACCATTTACTTAAAATCCGAAGAAAGTATATATAGGAGGTGTATGTAAATCTGAACCAATTTCAAGAAAACTTGAAACACACATGTACATTGTACAAAATTGTGTGCTGGTCGGCCAATCTTTTGTTCTTTAGTGCACAATTTACATCAAATCGGACGAAAATATATATTGGAGCTATATCTAAATCCGAACCTATTTTCACGAAACTTAGCACACATCATTCTGGACCCAATTCAGTGCCCCATGCCAAATTTCGTGCAAATCGAAAGTTATATAGGGACTTTGGAGACCCATTTACCTTTAATCGGACGAAAATATTATACGGGAGCTATATCTAAATCTGAACCGATTTTCTCGAAATATGGCACACATCATTCTGCTGCTAATTCAGTACCCTGTGCCAAATTTCATGCAAATCGAAAGATATATAGGGATTTTGGTGCACCATTTACCTTAAATCGGACGAAACTTTATATGGGAGCTATATCAAAATCTTAACCGATTTTCTCGAAATTTGGCACAAATCATTATGGACCTAATTCAGTATAGGGACTTTGGTGCCCCATTTACCTTAAATCGGACGAAAATATATATGGGAGCTATATCTAAATCTGAACCGATTTTTCCCAATTTCAATAGGGTTCGACTTGTGCCAAATTTCATCTAAATCGGATTATAAATGCGACCTGTACTTTGTTTACAATTTAACATCTACAGACGGACAGAAGGACGGACATGCATAAATCGACTCAGAAAGTGATTCTATGCAGGACACAGGAACCCTGTGTCTATCTCGTTTCCTTTTGCCTGTTACAAACATATGCACAAAGACATAATACCCTGTACCACAGTGTGGTGAGGTGTATAAAAATTACAATTGCTTCCTAGACTTTTACATTTCTGGGACAACAATTACAGAAAATGTTAAAAGAAGTTTGCATCCACAAATTTTCCCCAAACAAACCGCTTCGCCCTTTCCGCCATTTAGAGTTTGTTTATGACTTTACAGTACAAAATGTATATCATTGTAATAAAAGTTTTAATGTAGCACTTACATTTGTGTGCTTGTTACATTTAAACTTTTGTCTATGGAGACAAGAATAGTTTTTTTTTTTTTTTTTTTTTTTTGAAAACATTTACATGACAACAATTTAATTAATTTTGAAATGCATTTTGAGGGGATGCAACATACCAGAAAAGTTTCATAACTAATTTTCTATGAAATGGTGTATATATTTTAATAAAGTTCAGACAATGAGTCATAGGACTCTTGGTGTCTCAGCAATGGACAAATTTTTGTTTCTAGCATCATGTGTGATTCTCCGGCGACAGGCGAATATACATACATAACTACATTTTCTCAAGAAGGCTAACCTGCCTTGTCGATGAAAAACTTGACTTTAAGATCGTCGTTCAGATTTATATCACATTTAATAACCTTGACCATTTTGTATAAGGTGATCTGGGCAAACCACTGGTTCTTCCGATAAACTTCATAACCATCGATATCAGTTCTGTCAATAATTACCACTCGTCGATCAGCTGTAACACCTGGCTGAGTAGTTGAGTCGATATGCTTTGATTCCCATTTAACTTCAAAGATTGGGTTTCATCCTGCAGAGTAATTTTGCGACGCAACCAATACATTCTAATCAGTTTAGAAGTTTCAAAGTACACTGTTCAGTCTTCCATGTCTACACTGTTGTCGCGAGCAGTATAAGTACTCCTACTGTTCTTCTCAACCAATACATTCTAATCAGTTTAGAAGTTTCAATGTACACTGTTCAGTCTTCCATGTCTACACTGTTGTCGCGAGCAGTATAAGTACTCCTACTGTTCTTTAACTTCTTTCGGTTGGAAAACTTGGCTACATACGTCGCAATACCGAATATTGGGCGGAACCTTAACAAGGGGGGCTATATCAAAATGTAGACCTCCAAAATGGATATTTCAAGATGTAGACCGCCGAACAGCTGATAGATAGATGCTTATATCGACATAAATTTTATATCAAAGTGTTTTTGAATATTTGTAAAAGAGCCTGCCATACCCCATCACCATATACATATAACACAAAATAAGAATAGAATGAGATGAATCCACCCAGAGAAAATGACAACACTAAATAATCAAGGACCCCAACCACTGCACAAATACTCATAGAGATTTTGTTTCTAGACAACGGTAAATGGCAGGTAGCCTTATCACCTAGGACAGGCCACAGAAGACCAATAATCTGCTTAGCTGATCAGAGTTATTTTTTTCCATCGCACTTGATGTGCATTCGAAAATCTTAAATCGTTTGGGCCTTTAATTGTGGACTTTTTTATTGTTTTAACCTCCAATTTTTAGCCACTTCGGTGATAATGTGACGGCACCTTTATATGGGAGCCACGCCAAAACATAAAGCGATATTGAAAAATTTTGTTAATTGATATATTTTTGTACATTTTGACACACCCATGAGATGGGAGTACCCGGAAACTTCAACCAATATTGATAATTTATGATAGAAAAATTTCTACTCAAAGACCACCCAAAATATAAAATTACAGCCAATTTGGTTGAATCACGTGTCCAAACCCTCCTCCAGTTTCGTTTTATGGGGGCAACCCTGAAAAATTCACCAATATTGATAATTTGTAGAGGAAGATTTACTACCCAATGATAACCCAAATATCAGATGATTAGGTTGATATCGTGTCTATTTAGAGATTTTGAGCTACTTGGTCATCGCTAATACAAAATAAATTCTGTTGAAAACGTGACCAAAAGCTTCATAATAACTAATATGGTGCGTACTGCTCCTGAAAAGTAGACGTCTTTGGTATGGATTATCCCAATTACACAGCGACTCACTCACCAATAAACCACTCTTATTATTATTGTTCTTTGGGAACTTCCACATGAACTTGAGGTTTAAACATCCACCTCAATTGATTCCGGCCCCGGTAGCATCGACTCGTCAACATACGAAGTTGGGCTGGGCTTTCCATGTTCACCAAGATCAGCTATCTTTTCTACATCCTTCGGTGATTCGCCTGTCAAAGAAATTCATCATAGAATAGGTTGAGCAGGGCTTTCCATGTCCGCCAATAAAATCAGTCACTCTTCTTTCAAAAATTTGGATTAATAGCGGTCCATAGCGACATTCTCAATAATAGCCCGCCAAGATCAAAATCCATTATTACTTCTTTCGATAATTTGGGTTGATTTTGGAGAAACGCCACTGTAGCACGCATGGCGTCTTTCTCAGCCGTCGAGCTGGGCTTAAAATGTCCACCAAAATGGGCAGTCTAGAATGTCCACTAAAATGGGCAGGGTAGAATAGTTTCATAGCTGGAGAAGCATGTTTGTCTTTCTCTCAATGCTGCCATTTATGTCTTCAAGTGCATTGGGGAACTAAGGTAAATGTATTCGGTCAAGATCTTCATTATTTTCCAACTTGGGTATTGGTCGAAAATAAGCGATTTTCCAAAAAATAAGTTTCATAGGTCCGCCATTTTGATCATTTTTTCGAGACGTTAATAATCCTAGTTCATACCTAGTTTCTAATTGCGTTGGAATTTTAAGATTTGAACAGTCCAGTGATCGGCAATTATGTCCGACCTCAAAAAGGACTTTTCTTTAATTACAAAAACAACAACGAGACATTTTGTGAATTTATATTCTTCTTCTTGAACTCTTAAAATACGTGTATGTAATATTACAAGTCCTTAACATGGTAATTTGTCAGCCGATTGAAAATTGTCGAAATTTTAAATTGAGAATGGGTGTCCCCTTAATATTATTTTCAATTATCTTTTTTCCTATTTTTGGAAAAAATGACTTCTGCTAACCTATTATGCAACCCCGAGCCACACAATTCGCATACAGGTTTACTAGTCTATTAAATTATGTTTCATTCAATTTAAAAACTATTTCTCTGATTCTTATTTAAATAATATTGAAGGCTTCGAATGTCTACATTTATTCAAAATTGAAACACTCTATATTTTATCGTTTATTTATTGTCAACTCTTACCATTTCTTTGCTCATGCAAGTTATTTATTACCATGACCAATGTCTACATCTATAACAAAAAAGGAAACAAAAAGGTAGTTTCAAATTACACAATATATATGTACGTATATTTTTCTCGTTATATTTGTCTTCATTTAGTTTACATTGGAATGCTGATATCTCATTTCTAATATTTAATTTGTACAATTATTGGTTATTTCTTTTATCACACAAATAACATAAAAAAATACAAAAATAAACAAGAATCGTAATCGTAATATAGCGTTGTGGTGGAGTATTATATTTACCTTCATTTAAAATACAATTTCAGTCGTCGTCCAATTAGGATAGGAAGTTGTGAATATATATAGGAAATAAATAAATAGGAAACAAAAAAAAACTACAAAAATAATAATACATAAATAAATAACTTGTAGTTGTGTGTTTACAAGTGGTCTTTGGATTTCGTAGTAGTTGTAGCAGTACCGTACATCAGTACCTTGGCGTGGACGTTTTTACATCCAGATTTTTTGGGTTCAATTGTGGCAACAATTTCGTCAAAATGTTGAGGACTTAATTTAAAGCCGGTCATTTCAGCTTCTCTGGTTATGCAGTCTTTCAGTTCATTTTCTCCGAATGTGTTAAAGTTGATGACATGAGTATCGGTTAACAAGTCCAACACTTGTTGTTGTTCCTTATATTTATCTGTGCTCAACATTGTATTTAAACTAAATACATAGAATACAACAACACGTTTTTGTTGTTTCTCAATCGATTCTCTTACTAGTTGATTCACTATCGATACAGCCGCTTGATCACTGGGCCACAAATTCTCTATAACCAAAAGATTTTGTCCACAATCTGAGAGGTTGTCAATCAACAAACGCAACAGACGTAGCCTTTCTTCGTCATCTTCCACATACGCGTTCCAAGCATAACTCTGTACATTTTCCTGCCAGGGAAAATTCTCCATCATTGCTCGCATAAATAGACTTTTACCCACACCGACGGGACCCACCAAAGCAATGGCATTTAAATCACTCTCGTTTCGCAGCGCAACATCAATTTGTTGCAACGATTTTTCCTGATTCAAAATGCCATATTGACGGATGCGTTCGAATAAGGATGGTGTAGCCAAAACTTGTTTTTGATCACAATAATTTTGTTTTCCATGAATAATTTGAGTATATTGATTTCGATAATTTTTAAGGAACTCTTTTAATATTTGTTTGGTATTAGAGTTATTTTGTGTATAGTAGTGACCCATTAAGAGAGCAACGGTAAATGTAAAGAGGCCGATGAATACAAGAATGCGTTTACATTTACTAACATTTTTATTAGTCGTCTGTGTATTATCATCGGCTAAACGGCGCAATCGTTTACGTCTATGTGTTTTATGTGGCTGCAAACAAAAATTATTCAATGCGGTTTATTAGATAATTCATATTTTTTGGAGCTTAAGCTAAAACGTAAATGTTAACACTTATTTGTAGCTTATTCACTATTTGTAATTTGAAAAATCTTACTTTGTATTGAGTACGAAACATGCACTTATCTTTAAACATTATATACATCAATAAGACACGACATAAAAACAAAACACTCTTTTTACACCAACCACCAATGAAATGGTAAATAAAATGAAGATCAAGTGCCTGGTCGGAGAGCAGTCGTTCAAAGTGTAAAAATAATACTGATTAAAGTTCCGTTCCAAAACTCTTTACTCGGGAAATTTGGCCGAGTAAAAATTGTAAACAGGAATGCCTACTTCTGATTGGCTGTTATGTTGGTTTTTATGTATTGCCATCTAATGTTGGGATATCCAGCATGTTAACCAGCTATTTCATTCTCCTGGAACCCATCAAAGTCTACCAAATAAGCGGTAATCAAGCAACATTTCTCTACATTCATGGCTAGAATCCTCAAAGGACTTTTCAAAAGACTAAAGACTGATTAACTTGGTTTCTTCTTAGAAACCAAAGGCTTGATATGTATACCAAAATCAAATTACAAAAGCATCAAATTACAAAATATTGTTATTTTATGAAAAAATGCAACCAGACTTTAACAATTAAAAATATTCTATTCTGCCCATTTATTTGGGTAGGTTTATATTGAAACATGTAAAAAAGGGTCAGTCGGTGTGGCCGAAATGTATATACCCTCAGCCTATGGTTTGCGGAGGTTTTCGGAATTACACACAGACTTAATTTTATTTTTTTATTTATTTATTCAAAAATTCAATTTGAAGCCATTAACGCCTATTTCAATTAAATTGCAAACTATACTACTCCATTTAACAAGATTTCTTAATGATATCTTAGAAGGTATTATTCTAAAAATAATTATATATTTGAATGTTTGGCAAGTGGCTAACTACTTAAGTAAGTGTATTAATATTACACTTACTTAAGTGTATTAATATTAATTAAAGTGCATTGTATAAAATATAAGAATTTAGATTTGTATATTATTAAAAAAGATGACATACATAATGTTATACACTTTATTATTCGCATTACATAAGTTAATGTTTATCAGAAAGGTTTCAGATTTAATTTTAATCGAAGGGGCCGTTCAAGTATTACGTAAGAAAATTTATTGCATTTATTTATCCCCCACTCCCCCTTGTCATCAAAAGTAAGCATAGCTCTTAACCCAAAATAAGCAAAAGCGATAAAAAAGCAAATCGATGTGGGATTAATAAATATGTAACCATTGAAATCTTTGTGGGGGAGGTACCAGAAAGTAAAGATAGTAGGTTGCACACAATTTTGGTTCAAATATTATCGTCGGGGTTCGCATGATATTATAAATTATTTTTTTCACAAATTTAAACATTTTGTGTAGCCTCATCTTCGGAGTTGATCTAGGCTTGGTAGAGATAATTAGTTGTGCAAAGTTTGTTTCAAATTGGATATTTCGTTCCCCTAATATTGGATTTATAAATGTTGAAAATGATGTCCATTTGTGGGAGAGGTGTCAGAAGGACACCCTTCGAACCTTATTTAGGCTTGGGAAAGATAACGAACGATCCATATTGAAAATGTTAACTATTTGTGGGTGAGATACCGGAAGGGGTGAATAAATGGGTCCCAGCTTCCGACTTGATCTAGGCTTGGTGAAGATAGTAGGTTGTGCAAAGTATGGTTCAAATCGGATGATCCGTTCACACGATATTATAAAATTTATTTTTAGCACAATTTCTACCATATGAGTGGACCTAAATTCCCCACCTTCGAACTTGAACTAAGTTCGGAAAAAATATTAAAATGTGAAAAGTTTGGATTACATCAATTACTCCCAGTCATACAGGCCGGACTTTTGTAAATCGACTCCAAATTGTCTGAAACGGATTTGATCCAAAAGAAACATGGAGTATAAAACCAATATTTCGATGAGGCACATTTTCACCGTATCAAAGTGTATATACCAGGGATGGTCCGTGTGACGAATGTTTAGGTTTTCGACTGTCAAAAAGGTGTAAACGTCGAAAACGTCATATACCTGTATAAAATGTAATAAATGTATTAAACGTCATTTATTTGAATATTATCACCATATACAGTTATTTTCAAGAATATATATTATTTTAACATATATCTGACTATTCCTCACAAAAACTGATAAAAAATTCTAAACTTTTTGGGGAAGAAAATTTTGAAATTTGATATGGATTTGAATAAAACATACGTAATTTCGAAATTGATTTTGAAAAATTTTCAAAAACCTAATGGTTTGGGGTGGGTTTAATACGTTTCTGACGTATGTATTATAATAAAATGTATGTCATTTTGTCACTGTTTTAGAACCATCTCTGGTATATACCCACATTAACCTATAGGCTGAGGGATAAAAATTGATCCGTCGCATAGCCTGAAATGGCTTTAGCTTAAAAACTGTGTTAACGTGATTTGAAGTTCAGAAATTCCGAAAATAGCGATTGTGTTCCCTTTACAATCATACTAATGTTACTTTCATCAGTCCATAAATGACGAAGTTATGAGCATATCGAGCTTCATTCGCCAAAAAAACCTAACCTTCAAATTTGAAATTTTACAGGAGAAGGTTTGTTTTAATAAATTCAGATTTAATAAAACTATTATTTTGTAATTTAGAACTATAGTTTTGTTATAAACTAGTCTTGTTTTAAACTATATTACTAAATTGCAAAATAGTAGCTTTATTAAATCTTACGTTTTTTTGGCGAATATGGCTCGATATGAATTCCGGACCATCAAGAGGCCCATATCTCGGGAAGTATGGACTTCATATATTTTCGTGATCAGGGAGACGAGATATTCCTGTGGTAAAAAATTGAAAAATCCGAAATGAGCCCCTAAACTCTACATAAGCCATCATATACTCGCCCTTGCGGAATTTTCCACCCTCTGCCCATTAGTTTGATGGTGTTTTGTATAGCAAGTATATTGATACCTAGTGGTTGTGAACAGTATGTTTTTGTCGTATTAATTTGTTATGCCGCATCAACCCCTATATTCACAAAACTTCCCATTATAGTTTTAATACAAAATAAGATGCCCTGTTTTATTGCATGTCAACCATTTTAAATGGAAATTACAGAATAGAAAAATATCACAATCTTGTACATTTCTGATATCTTCTGAAATAGAACAAATTGAAAACATCAATTCAGGAGACCCAATGATATGAAGTTAGCCTAAAACGCAAATGTTTCAAATATAGGTTAGGGTCACGATTCTCAAACATTTCTCGCTTTTTGTAAATTGCAATAACCAGGATTTTGTTCCACTGTATTTAAAACTCAGTTATAAATAAACTCTGTGTAAAGTCTTTAAAAACTCTTCCGGGATATCTGGGGACAATAAATAATATAATGCCCAAACCAAAATTGATCTATAAATTCTATGCCCCCTAAAATCAATGAATCAAGGGTGAGTTGCAATACATAAAAAAATTATATTTAATATTAGTTTTCAAGCAAAAATTCAAACTTACCTCATTGTCACGGCAAATTGTTGGAACTTTAGTTGCATTTAAATCGGGCTCTGTTGGGCATTCCGTTGCCATTTCTTGATCTACTTCCATTTGTTAGCGGAAAAATAACTTCTTTGCGCAGAGAATTTACTTATTTCAAACCAAAATTTTATAATTTTAATTCAAGAACGGAGAAAATAAAACACAATTTGCACAAAACTTCTGGGACAATAGTAATGGCGCGTTTGACAGTGTTGCCAGTTGTTTGTTTGCAATAATTGGTTACCAAGGCACATCTACCTTGATTGTTTACAGTTATTGGCTACGGTATGATGTGGCAATGTTGTGCTATTATGTTGCCACATGGTTCATAATGTTGGAATAGTTTTTTAAAGAACTTAAAGGGGACTGAATAAATTGGGTCATAATTTCAATAGTCATTACTTGCGATATGAACTAAAGTGCAGAGCTTTCTGTAGTATCTTTTGGATACCGTTTTTATATCCAAAATATTATGGCCCCACACACTATACTGCCATACTGCTACTGCCGATGAACACCTGTGTACGTGTGTGCTTGAATAGTGTGTAGTACTCTTCAATCAAAATTAAAAAAATTGTTTTTAAAATCACAAAAAATGATAATTTGATTTAAAAGTTTATTTATTGTATTTCAACACACACACATACACTTTTTATTTCAAATATTTTTTTCTGACAACTTTGAAAATAAAAAAGTTCATCGAATTTGAAGGGGTTCATTTTCAAAATCAAAACTATTTTGATTTTCGTACTGTATGAAATTCTCACACATACATCCTCAAAGTGACACAAAATTACTACTAAAATTACTACTTCAAATGCTGTCATGCATGCCCTATGGTGTGTGGGGCCCTTTACACAAAAATCATAATGACCTATTTCTATAAACTGATAATCAGGTCCATGCAGAAAATTCAATAATATTCCGGATATTCGAATAATATGTATACATTTTCTATTTTCCGAATTCTGAGTTAGGTGGAAACATTTTTGCTGAACATTGCTTATATTCTGACATAGAGATGTATAAAGGTTATGTGTCATTTTAGATATGACCATTCCAAACATTTTGTAATAACTCCCTATATATTCTCGGTCGAATTTAGGTATATAGATTGCTCAAAACATGTCGGAGAGATTTAAATGTGGCATCGCGTTAGCTATTAATTTGCCACTTAGTTTCCCTCTCGGTTTGTCTTTCTACGAACATATGTTTCCATGTTTCATTCCACTTCGTTCCCATTTCAATGTAACCCTTATACACGTTTTCAATATTACAATTAGAAATTGTAAACAAAACAATATATTTCATACATTTTGAAAACACAATGGAAATGTATGTTATTTAAGTATTTATTCGAAATAATTTATTAATTTTTCAATTCTTCTCCCCACAGTGTCAATCCTTGCTTCTCGGTGCTCTCCAATTTCGAAGTACTGGAATGTCTTAAGAACATAAAGGACACTAAAAAGAAATATGGTCTTCGTAATTTGGCCACAATAACCTATGAAACATTACAATATTTGGAGGAATCACCGTGTAAACATCAAAACCGTGATGTCATCTTTGCCTTTATCAAAGATATGCAACCGTATAAATTAACCACAAATGAACTGCTGATGATGGTCAATGATCCACCCACAAGTGCTTTACATATTCAGCTACTGATAGAAGATAGTGAGGAGCGTTTGACCGAGGATCAAGTTAATGAGATCATAGAAATAGCGAAAAAACATTTTCCCGGACCACCGGCTGAATCAAGTTGATAATAAAATGAAGATTTTGTTTAGTAAAAACGATATTTTAATATTTATTCGATAAGGCCATAGTTAAATACATATCTAATCAAAAATTAATTTATTTGAAAGGAAATTCGCTCGCATATCCGATTTTACCTTATTTTCATAGGTTTAAGTCGTAAAACCTCCCAAATTTTTGAAATTCAACCGATTGAAGAATGGATGGGATAGAAAGGTTATCTGCGGAACTTTTGAGCCAATATTTTAGGAAGTAAGGATTTAAGCAAGGACAATGATATCTTTGTAAAAACTCTACTTGAATTATCCCGTTAATGGGTATATTCCAAGTCCATGAAAATTGATAAATTTTATGTATATTCCTAAAGCCTATGGCCTATTTTCCTCTCTATTAAAATAATGGTAAGATAGCTGGACCTCGAATAAAATATCACAAAATCTAGAAAAGATCCGCACGACTTCATAGATATCTTCTGAAGCATAAGTCTTTCAAAGCTCTTAAAATGAGGCAGGATCTATATTGAGCACAGGAACATACAAATATTTGATATGTGACTGGACCTTTATTGATATTTTTATAAAAAAATAATCATAAGACCTTCAAAGTTCTTAAACTCATCTAGGACCTATATATCTGATCCTTGCCAAAGTATGGACCCAGTTATAAAAAAACGATGGTTTTATGGGCCGAAAAATTGTTTGATGATTTTCTGCAGTTGTTACCCACCAATAACAAGAATACGAAAATGCGGCCCCTCAACATTGCTAAATCGGCCTAGAATTGTATTTCATCAAGAATATATACTTTATGGGGTCACAGATGAATAGTTCGATGTGTTGCAATAGGAAAAATAAAAAATAAATAATACCCCACCTTGTTATTTATTAAAGTTTACTCCAATCGTTAGCGAAGCCAAGAACAATCTTCAAAGAATGTGGGTTTCCTCATTAAATAAATTGTCCTTTAGCAAACCGTACCGTGTTATTCGAATAAACAAACAAATCAAAGTTGTGTTCTATTAAAAAAACTGTGCTTCTATTTTTCTTTATTCCACAAAAAAAAATGCCGTCACACTCTCTTTCGATTAGTCTTGACAATATCTACTTTATATCTACTCCGTTTTAACGCTTTTGATCACCCAAATCTTCAATGAAATCCGGATCAATTTCAGCCCATTTCTCGGGTATCACATCGAATAAATCATCCTTGACATCACCTTGAATGACAATTTCATCGTCACCGGTTACGGAAGAACCACAAGCAAATTTTGTGCCAAAATATTTTGCAGCCACTTTCAAATCAATTTCGAATGTGCTCAGACCAGTGACCACAGTGACAGACTTCTTTTTGCCGCGAGGTGCACGCGATACGGTGATCCTCTTATTGACCTCTTCCTTCTTTTTGATTTTCATTAGACCTTTGCCACCACGTTTTTGACGTCTTTTGTCGTCATCAGCACCATCACCGGCTTCTTCTTCCTCCAGCTTGACACGTTCAAATTCTGTGGGTAAATTCTTTTCCAGCCATGCTTTGCATTTCTCATATTCCGGATAGTATTCACAGTACTGAAAAATGGATGAATATGTATTTTAAATTATGAAAATGGAAGGAACAAAAGAACTGGGTGGTATAGACTCACTTCAATGGGCATCGAACAGTTACCGCAATAGTGGACTGTTATGGGATAGTTGACACCCTCACGTGGACCCATTTTTAGACGTTCGGCTACAGGATTAACAGTTTCTGTCATTTTTCTAATTTTTAATTATTTATTTTCTATATTTGACGACAATACAATGCAAATTTCCAAAACTGTGCAAAATGTGAACAGTTCGTAGGAACTATTCCCAAAATGGAACGATTGGAACTAGGTCGAGTTTGTTCAATTGTTCGTTGTCGTTCTGAAGATGTTGCCATACTTGATAAGTTATGAAATATATATACTTCATCAGGATAATTGTGTATAAGTGATTTCAGAGGACACAAGTTAGTTTTCAATATAATACCATTCTTAAACATAGCTCCATTTCAGGCAGACAAATTTGTCCCGCCTCATTTTAGGTATTTTCATGCGCCTAGCACTACGCCCCATGGTAGAGCTGGGTCTCTTTCAAACTTCGTAGCATAAACATTAGGTTCTGTTTGTTTGGGTGAAATGTCTGAATCGATTACAATAGTGTATGGCCCTTCGATATATTTCTATTACTTTATGAATTATGGTAAATTTTATTCACAATTATCAAGATCGCACAATTCTGATGGGAGTTTAGCCAAAACTACTCTGGTTTGACTTGTCAGCCGTCGCTCTTTAGATGTAACATGCGGGATCGATACCGAAGACAATATCCACACTGTATTAATTTATGACCTCCATCAGATTCTTTTACGCCTGAGTAGAGATCATATTTCTATGCTGAAGTAATAAAAGGATCTTCGACAGCTCATGTTGGGCCACTGAATTCAACAGTAGGCATCATATATATGTTTATGAACATTACTTCCTGGACTTTGGTATTATTGGTTGTTGTAGCAGCTTGTACTATTGTGTATTTCTCCTTAATATTGCTGACCGCGCGGTCAACCCGTGCCCAATAACAATTTTGCTGCCATCGTAGGCAGGTGATCACCGAAATTTGTATTCACACGATATTCTCGAATTCCTCCCCCAACAGCATCCGTATGAATATGACTCAACCTTTTCCTTCCTGACATGCCTAGGTGGTGGGATAGGCACCCATTAGGTAATGATTCGGATGATAACTTCCATAACACCCAAGCAAGTATTGCATCAACGTCTTGTTGTGTTGACGCACAGGAAGGTTCTTCGTCTCCTCATCTAAGTGGTCTATTGGAGTCATGAGTATACACCCTATTGCAGCTCTCAGGGCGGCATTCTGGTAGGAGAGAAGACTTTTCCATTGGGTTGTAATAATCTTAGCGGGTCACACTGGCGCCGCATTGTTCACCACAGACCGGCTTGTTACGTTGTATGTCGTTAACAAAGCTTTTTTTGTCAGCTACCCAAGTGCTGCCGGATAGCGATTTGAGAACCTTGTTCCTGCTCCTGATCTTATCGCAAATAGCTATGGCATGCTCGGACGACTAATAAGGGTTATCGAATGTGACCCCATAGGTTGCAGCATCTCCGCTGTCCATGTGATAAACAGTGTGATCGTTGATTTATTGGCATATATTTCTATATTCCTCGCCGTGGTTCAGCAATGGTCCCGATGCCATTATCGTTAATCATCCGTGTACGTTTTGATCTTTATGCCATCCGGTGGGCGAAGAATTTTAGAAAGGTAGAGGTTAAAAAGTTCCGGTAGTCGGAGATGTTGATAAGGATTCAGTTTTATTCAGACAGTGTCGTTAAAATGAGCCTAATACGAATTGAGAGAGAAAGAGAAAAATATCACTACATTATTGAAATATGTGTTCAAGCTTTTACATTCCTATTCAATGGCAGGACCAGAGGCCTTGAACGTAAAAACATCAGCGTATGTATCATTTGCATATGTTCCATAAAAGTAAAGGTTAAAAAGTTCCGAAGATATTCCTCAGACTGGGGACTCTTTGTCTAATGGACTGGAATTCTTTTTCCGATACTCCACTAGCGTCCACATTTTTAATTGTTTATGCAAGGTTTCTCGACGTCCCTTTTTTTGTAATTTGATCGTTATAATATTTTTTAGTAGTCCAATAAACCTCCCTTTTACATTTAAGCCGCTTAATATGATAAAATTTAAATTTAATTGTGAAATGTAGCTTACAGCCTTAAGGTCGAAAGACTGGGCAATATGAAATATAAAATAAATAAATAAAAACTGCCCACATAAAATAACACAGATTTTCATTCTTCCATGGCAACTCCATAATTTAAATATTTTTTTTAATTTCCCAGCTTCTAGCTTTCATATACATTTCAAACAGCTGTTGTTTAATTTTTGTACTAAAAATCTGAATCTATCATCTGATTGATATTCTTCCATGTCTCATTCGTAAATATGATAAGAGCTCTTGATTTTTGTTGCAATCTGTAATTTTATCATTCATTCTTTGCTTTCTTCCTATATTCCTAGCAGTCAGAACGATTTTGTCTGAATCGGTTTTCGATTAAAGGACGAACTGGTTCGGATTGATTCCACATCTGTTGATAGCTACTACCCAAATGTTGGATATACAAAATGCAAACAAGTGGTAAACAGTTCTTTGAAGGTTGTGGTAAGGAGGGTCAGATACGATGTATATTTCTAAGTGAATTCCATGCCACAGCAGGTTCAAAAATAAGTTGTCAGGTATGTTGAGACTTCTATAATAAATCTGAATTCTTATCATATATTCACATCTCTCTTTGGAAATAGGTTCCCCCGGATTATGTCCAGAAAGACGTGTTCGATGCCATCAGTGTTTACATTATACCAAAGCCGCATTTACAAAAATGTATTCTCACCGTAAATGCTATGGATATCAAAATTGTGGGCTATCCCGTTGGTATAGAGGATCAACAGAAATATGCACGAAATGCATTTTTGTTTAATCTGTGTTTTGTATGTGACTCATGGGCAAGATCGGTACAATATGAACCAGTTGTCAAGAAGCTCTCGGAATATTTGGTATCTACGATTTGCACATTTCTGATTTGCTTTATGAAAAAAGTACTAGAATTATTACATTTTCAGATTATGATGGAAGAAGAGAGTTGTTTCCTATCCAAAGAGGGTGACAACAAATTGAAATTGATGAAAATCTTTGAGACGGTTATTAATGATTTGAACAAGAAGAAAGTTACAACTATTGTGGGTGAGTTGAAAAAACGAAAGGTTAAATTTGTATACCCAACATCATAGGTGGTCTGAATAGTAAATTTGTGTTTCTGTTTGTAATATTTAGAAATATTCGTTGGGGACCCTATGAAGTGTATATGTATATGAGTGTGGCATATATCGGGACAGGTTTTGGATGAGCCTTATATGACAAACTGTCCTATTTTCGGAATTTTGAAGTTTTTTGTGGCATTCCACCCGAACTGGCTGTGATATCGCATTTTAAGTTCGTGGAGGTAGATAACATATCTGTGCGGAAACTTTTTAATGCAGGTCCATATTTCGTCATAGCCCCCATATAAAGTGTCGGACTTATTTTATGCATTATTATGACCCTAAGTGCATTTTAAGCATGGCAACCCGCCAAGAGCGGCACCGCTTCATTTTCATGTTTTGTCCCTGCCTCCATATGAAGTTTCCGACCCATTTTAAAAATTATCAGGGGCATTTTCCAAGCTATGTAACTGTAATTTAGAATTCGTAGTTTTTGGTGGTGAAAAATAGGTTTTCGGATTTGTTTTATTTTGACTATATTTTTTAGAGAAATTTGCCATTTCGTTCTTGATGGTCACTCACAATTTCCACATATGTCCATGTTTTGACATAGACAACTTTTACGGTTATATGAAGGCTTTTGGGACGTTCAAAGGATAAAATTCCTATAGGTAGAACATTTTCGATTTATTGATATAAAATTCAGCTATAAGTTCACTGACCATTGTGGTGGTGTTTTTCATAAAATTGGGAAATTTTCCTTAACTTATCTTTTATTTTAATTTGTATTCTTTTTCAGAGGGTGACACAACAATATATTTGAAAATTGTAACCCACAAACCAGATCCACCTGTTGTTAAGGATCATATGGTTCCTCTTTTGCTGGTTGATTATCAAAATACACCACTAGAAAATTGGGATTTAACAACACAACAAGTAAGAATTAAAAATCATATCAAAAACAAATTCCAAACTAAAAACTTTACATTTGCAGATACTACCCTATATTAATGGCATTAATCACATTGCACGAATTGCTGCTGAGGCCGACGTTGAGACAAATCTCGTAAAGTCATGTGTACAAAATCTAGTGTACTATGGTGTTGTACAACTCCTACCAATTCTAAAATATTCTAATGTTTATATGACACAAAATCTTAAAAGTCTCATACAAAATCCTTCACTTACCAACGCATGTCGAAAATATGTTGCCCTAAAACCAGATAAAGTTAAACCAACAATACAGAAAATCTTTCAATTTTATGCCTCAATGACACATGGTGTAACATTGCGTGTTATATGCCAACGTCTATGTCCACAAAACCATAATATCGATGAAAGAAAATTAGTTATATTCGGGTTGCAGCATAAATTTATACGTTGCATACATAAATATCCGGTATTTACGGGTTCAGTGCCATCGGGGCGACAAAAAATGTATACGGGATTATCGAATTTTGATGAGATATGTTGCAAGACCGGTCTATCGCCTTCCAGTATAGAAAAAGATATAGACAAGGATACAAATGTTACGGTTATTTGGAAATGAAGAGGATAATTATGTTTAAGATATACTTTTCAATATTTTATTTTTTTATTTAAGATTATGTAAATCACACACAAACAACCAAAAAGAAGTATAGTACAATGATTACTATTGTAATTAAATAAAAACATTCGACTGAAAAAAATGGTTCTTTGGTATGAAAACTACAATGAATATAATTACAATCTTTAAACTTGGTAAGAAAATTGAGATTAATAGAAACATTTATAAATGTTTGTATTAAATGCACAAAATATTTTAAATAGTACTAAAATTAGTCAATTTTTTGGTAGTTGGTGAACGAATGAAGCTTAAAATTTAGTAAAAGGAATGATTTTATTGTGTAGGATTGAGGTAAGGCTATGGTTTTGGAAATGTTTAACATAAATATACGAAAAATTCAAAATAGCTCCAAATTTTTCAAATTTGTCATGGGGATCATTTTGGGTATATTTTGTTTTTTTTAATCGTATTATAACTCTCGAACCGATAACTCTCGAACTGAGTATTCAATTTCATTAAAATGTTGCACTTCGAAGATGGAGAATATAGGGCCACTGCTTCTGGTACCTCCCCACAAATTTATCAATATTTTGCTGAATACTAATTCATAATCTTGATCTTTTTAACATCCTACTGGAAAAGGTCATACGAAACGCAAAGGTGAACAGAAATGGCACTCTGTACACCAAACAACACCAGTTACTCGCCTACGCCGATGACATCGATATAATGGGTCGAACATTGCGAGCGGTAACAGCCACCTTTGAACAAACTGAAAAGGAGTCTGCCAAAGTGGGTCTGGTAGTAAACGGCGAGAAGACCAAGCTGATGGTATCAACGCGCAAGACGTCCTGTAGACTCGGACCAACTGTGGAACTTGAGAACTACAGCTTCGAGGTAGTTAAAGACTTTATATACCTTGGTACCGCCATAAATAAAACGAATGATATCAGTTTTGAAATTCGGAGAAGGATTGTGATGGCCAACAGCTACTATGGTCTAAGTAAGCAGTTTAGAAACAAGGCCACCTCTCGCCAGACCAAACTCACACTTTACAAGACGCTGATACTACCCGTGCTATTATATGGATCAGAAGCATGGGTACTTGCGCAAGCAGATGAGGCAGCGCTTGGGGTGTTTGAGAGAAAAATTCTCCGAAAGATCTACGGGCCGATCTGCGTCGACGGTGAATATCGGCGTCGAATGAACCACGAGCTCTACAATTTATACGCAGACATCGACATAGTCAGTCGTATTGAGCTGCAGCGACTACGGTGGCTAGGCCATGTTGTGCGGATGAATGAAGAAGCCCCAGCTCAAAAGGCATATAAAAATGAGCCTACGGATGGTTCCCGTAGAAGGGGAAGGCCACGAATTAGATGTAAAGACCAAGTAGAAAACAACATCTTGGAACGTGGTCTTCCAAATTGGTGGACTTGCGCACAAGACCGGCGCGCTTGGAAATCTTTTTTAAGCTCGGCTTATGGAACAACCGTTCTGTAACAAGCCAGCTAAGTAAGTAAGTAAGTACTAATTCATAATATAACTAGCGAAGTGCGCTCAACTTCGCATGCGGAAAGGGAATACAGAACAAATAAATACTATTTTATATGCAACTCGTCAATACTGTAAATTTTTTGTATTATAATTCTGAATTTTACTTCTATTCCTACATCTAAAATCAACAATTTAGTACTTTTCGTAGTCATAAGTATGAATTTCCTTAATCCTGCTTTTAAATAGTAATGGTAAGTTCAAATTTAAGAATTCCAGCTCTGTTCACCAAAATCCAAATTGTACCAGGTTTGGTACCATTCTGCACTTTCAGTACCAACATTCCAAATTATTTCAAACCTACACTCCGACAGTTATCTAAGTTGCAACTTTCATAATTCCAGTTCCAAACATAGAATTTTTCATATCCATAAGTACGAATTTCCGTGTCCACATTTTAAGATTCCAGCTCTACACCAACATCCAAATTGCACCAAATTTAATGTCATTTATTACTTTTTATTTCTAAAACCATTTTCATACATCAATGACTCCTCCCAACCTGTATTCGATAAAAAATTTTATGAATCTGGCTATATATGTTCAATGTATATACAATTCGAACTGAATTTAGTAAAGTTTAGTACTTTTCGTACACATATAGGTCGAATTAAAAAAAAAAACATTTTGTACATATTTCTAACTTTTGATCAGTGACTCCCATTCCAAATTTCAAAAAGCTAGCTAGCTCTTCTCGTCCGCCTAATACTTAGGGTACTACAATTAGTACTGTTCATACTCTTATAGTTCGAATTAATAAAAACCCACACTCAAAATTACAAGAACCTAGCTTCAGCCGTTTCGCCTTGGCGATGATCTGACAGTCACTTACTTATCACTAAGCTCTTTTATATATTAAGATTTGAACACCACCTAATATTATATTTTACCATGCCTACATACAGTACGGAAATATGAAATCTCATCGAACTATTTTTACCAAACCTAGATCAAGTCAATCATTAAAGAAGTTGTAATTTTCATATCAAATGAAAGGAGCATCCGATTTGATCTTTTGAATGTTAACTGTTTTAGTTTTTATAGTTTTGTTTCCTATCGAATACCAGCTACGGGACCAATCTTCATTTATGTAATATAGTTGATATGGGTGGCGACCTACGACCAGGTTTTTATTACTTTTTCCCATGGATATATGCCAACTGTGGCAGAATCAAATATACTCCTCATTTAAACAGAATCTCTATTTAAATGGAAAGTTAATGATTTTTCGAAGTCCACTTTTTGGTAGGTCCTTTTGACAAACTTCTTGATAACTAAGATTTCATCGCTTCAAATTTATAGAAAATTATTAAAAAAATGGAATTTCATTGTTCCGAAAGATTTTGTAATACAGGTAGAATAGAATATGTTGGAAAAAGTTTCGGGTCGATCGGTCAAAAATTGAATGAGATATGAGTGTTCAATGTTAAGAAACCGTTTAGAAGTTTTTCTCGAAATTGCACTTTTGAAAGCCGGTTTCAAATTCCCATACAAACTTTTTCCTTAAGTGAGAGATTTTTTTAAATTGTAATCAAGTTACCGAAGTCCACTTTTTGGTAGGTCCTTTTGACAAACTTCTTGATAATTAAGACTTCATCGCTTCAAATTTATAGAACATTATTAAAAAAAAATTGGAATTTCATTGCTCCGAAAGATTTTGTAATACAGGTAGAATAGAATATGTTGCAAAAAGGTTCGGGTCGAGAATGAGATATGAGTGTTCAAAGTTAAGAAACCGTTTAGAAGTTTTTTCGACATTACACTTTTGAAAGCCGGTTTCAAATTACCATTCAAACTTTTTCCTTAAGTGAGATATTTTTTTAATTGTAATCAAGTTACGCATTAAAAATGGTTCTACTTATTGTAAACTTTTCAAAGCCATCTTCACGTATTGTGTATATGATCAATATTCCAAACATCCCAATTCTGAATTATTTTCTCATAGTTTAAGAGACTCTCATATACAAAACCATATAAAGAAAAATTTTCAAGTTTAATTACTAAAATCAATAAATTGAAAGAATATTTTTTTTGTATCTTTTCCATATCCCAAATTATTTAATTCAATCAATATGGAATTGATTCAATGAAAAAAAACAAACAAACAAACAAAATCGAATATCAATTTGTGACATTTTCCATGTTCCCAAATTGGGGTAATTTGAAATTTAACAACAGAGAACCAAGAGAATTCCATAACATTGGTCATTTGGATCCAACACTCAATTGCTATAACAATGTCCATGCGATTAACTCAATTGATCTCCAATGTGCGAAGGCATCTCTGAGTACAAGCTGATGGCTCTCCAAAAACAAATGATGTATACAAGTAAGTGGCCAAGTGATTGTACGAACGCCTCACTCAATCAGTCTTTTTGTAACGTTCGGTCTGGAAACATGTGTTCGGTTAGTTAAGCGGAAACTAAAAACGATCTGTCTGTCTATCGTTCGTGGCCGTTGAGTACAACAAGTATTAAGAGAGTAGTGAGTGTGTGGCCGGTTTTTCAGTGCATTTTTTGTTTTTGTCGAACAAAACAGAGAAGTTCAAATTAAAAAAACAAGAAGAATAAACCACAACAATAAAACAAAATAAATATATTCGCAGATAGTGTGTGTGTGGGGTGTGTATTGAAGAAAATAATAATAATGAAACAAAATGTGAGAATTCTGTAAAAAAGATTGTTTATTGATCCTCAGTGATTATAGTTTGCATGAAGATAACATCAGAAGAATACTTTGAGTTCTTAATTCTTCTTCTTCTTCTTCTGGTATGGTTCCAACTGCTGCTGCTGCAATTTTAACAACAACAACTGCTCCTTGTATTTACAACCAGCATTCAAGTTAATCACAATAACAATAGAAATAAACCAACAACAACACCAATTAACACGTACACAACCAAAGTAATGGTGTGTTAGTGATAACACAGCATTGGCAGCGATGACGAAGACGACCTGCCTCCGTATGTATCAGAGTGTCTGCTGCCGCTTCTGCTGGCTGAGTGCCACTTTAATATTGTGAATCATCTGGCTAAAGCAGAATTCGAAAATGACGAAAAATAACAATAAAAGAAAACATGAAAATAACTAAAAGCAAGCAATACAATGTCTAGTGTTTAAAAACAAAAATTGAACCGACTAAAACTTATTTGAATATGAAAATGTGCCGAATCGATCGAATTATTTATACCCTTTACAATGGATGGTGGATTCAATTGAAAAGAAAGGAATAGTAATGAATAATTTATAATACAAAAATCGAGAGTAAATTGAGTTAAAAATTAGTTAAGGGAGATTTTTATAATGTCGCACTGTTATAATTATGCTGCAAGTAGTCTAGGTGCCTGATTTCTTGTGGAAGTCCATACTTCCGGACAGGGACGTACGCCCCATCGAAATTAATTTTTTTCACAGTAAATTTATGTTTGCAGCAGCGAATTTTTTCAT